AGAGCCTGGTGAAATCCCTGAAACTATGGCCCCTAGCTGCTCTTCAGATCTGGAATTGAACCCACTCCTGTGGCTTCCAGCCAAACAAAAGACAGGCATCTGAGCTGAACATTTACATGAGGTAGATACACTCCTTGGAGAAATCAACCATGGGAGAATAGAAGGGCTGTGCATGCACAGGGAGATAGCTCGGGGAGCCAGGAGTACGTGGGAGGGGAGGACACAGGAAAGAGGTAACTATGGGGAGGAAGTGGAAGGGGAGCTGTTGCATTATGGGAAATTGCAGTCAATGTCATGAGACAAAGTGTATGTGAGCTGCTGTGTGGAAAATGAATGCTCTGTAAACTTTCACCCAAATCATAATAAAAATTAAAAAAAAAAAAAAAGTATTGTTAAGGCCATGTCCTTTCTAGGAAACTCTGAGCCATTTTACAACAAGGCTTCCATGAAACATGTTCAAAACAATGCTTTTCACATATTCAAAACACTTACATAAATTAACATGTCCAGTAATGAGTCATATTCTTCCTGATACACTATGACATCATGTCACTTCTGGAATATTTCTGCTAAAAATGCATAACCTGAGCCTTACCAAGAAGAAACATTAGGCAAATTCAAATTAAAGAACATTCTACAAAATAAGTGACATGCACTCTTTAAAGATGTTAAAATCATAAAAGATTTTTTTAAAAAAAAAAAAGACTTAAAAGCTGTTCCAATAATAGAGGCTAAAGAGACAGGACAACTAAATGTAACAAATGAATCTGGTTTAGATCCCAGATCATCAATTTTTTTTTTTCCTCTTTTGCTATAAAGGATATTAGTGGAACAATGGCAAAACTGATTATCTGTAGATTAACAGTAGTGCTGTATCAATGTTAATTTCTTGATTTTGGTCATTTTATAGCAGTCATGTAAGAGAACTGTATTCTTCTTAGGAAATTCACCCTGAAGTATATTTAAGGGTCAAGCGGCATTAATGTCTGCAACTTAACTCAAAGAGTTGAGGAAAAAATAATATATGGATAAAACCAGAAAGATTTAAAATGATAAGAGCAAACATAGTAAAAAAAATAATAATAAAATTTGAGTGAAAGATAGATGAGAATCCTTTGTACTGTTTTTGTAACATCTCCATAAATCTCAGATTATTTCAAAATAAAATGTTTAACCACAAAATAGGGAAAAAAAGGAAGAATAGAAAATAATCACATAAAAAGATGCTCAGTAGTACTGGCAATTATTGTTGTTGTTAGGTGGTGTCGAGGTGATTTCAACTCATAGTGACCCCATGTGACAGAGCAGAATTGCCCAATAGGGTTTTCCAGGCTATAATCTTTATGGCAGCACATCACCAGGTTTTTCCTTCCATGGAGTTGCTAAGTGGGTTCAAACTGCCACCTTTCACTAGCAATGGAGTGCTTAACCATTATGCCACCAGGGCTCCTCCTCCAATGGCATTAGGGAAATACAAATTAAAACCACAATGAGGTATCTCTAAACTCCTATTAGAATGACTAAAAAGGAAAAAAAGGAGGGGGGGGGCAATACCAAGATTTGGCAAAGATATGTTGTTGTTGTTAAGTGCCGTCGAGTCGTTTCTGACTCATAGTGACCCCACGCACAGCAGAATGAAACACTGCCCAATCCCGCACCAGCCCCACAATCCCTGCTATATACTTGAGCCCATCATCGCAGCCACCGTGTCAATCCATCTC